AAACAAAACAAAGAAACAAAAATCATGGGAGAGAGCCAGAGGAACTAGTGTCATCATAAAAACTGTAGGATTCACGGTCAAAGAAGAGAATGAAATAAAAACTATTACATTTTATTCTCTAACTGCTAAATAGGCAGAATCCTGGATCTAACTTAAAGAAAACTGAGTCCGACTTTTCTGTGTGAAATGCATGTGTGTAATATCATCTATTTAATTGAACTATGTTGGTTACAGATATAGACAACTCTAGGAAGGCATCAAATCAATCATCTCTGTTTTACTTAGCTCTCTTTACTTCATTGTTTCTTACAGGATGTTTTGTAGTGTGTCTTATAAAGATTTATATTCTGGACTCCTAAATCGGAAGAATACATTGAGTTTGATTATCTGTTTCTTTATAAAGCCTACGAAACATGCTTCTATACTTACTGAAGAAACTGATGCTTCAGGCCCATTGCAAAGAGCTTGCACCTTATGTGGAAACCCCTACACACAAATGAATGAATGAGTGAATGAATGAATGAATGAATGAATGAAACAAGCCTCCAAACTAACCAGGAAAAAAAAATATGACTCAGGGAGAGAAATCGCGAGTACAGGTTAGTTAAGAAATGGATGCGGTCTGCGGGTAGTGACTGGTAGTTGTGCACGCCTTTAATTCCAGCACTGGGGAGGCAGAGGCAGGTGGATCTCTGTGAGTTGGAGGCCAGCCTGGTCTACAGAGCTAGTTTCACAACAGCCAAGGCTACATAGAGAGAGCAGGTTGAGAAATGGCTGCTGTGTACATGGGCCCTTGAGCTGAGAGCGTTGTTGTTATGTGCCTGTATTCAATTAGTTGACTTTAATACCCACAGTGTTAGTAAAAGTTTTATGGAGTCTGAGCTGGTTAAAGATTTCTATCAATACTGAGATTATATTTCTTTGCTTTTGTTTTTTCAAAATTTGACTGTATACCATTGTAAGTTTGTAATTATGCAATTATTGATCAGAAATAATATCTTGTAAGAATTAGTGGTAAATCGAGACTTATTTTAATGAGCGCTGCAGTATGACTTCCGCACAGACTTCTTTCTGACCCTGCTGTCTGTGCTCTGGCTCTTTGTGGAAGAGAGTGTGAGTAACTCGTAATTTGTCTTTTGATTTCCGTGCATGTACATGATAAAGAACCACACAATTAGATAGGCGTTATAAATAGAATATGTGAAAAAAGAAAAATTGTGTTTCCAAGATTTTATAGCCTCTTCTCAGTGCTGTTTTGCTAGTCTTTAATTTCACTCTTTGGTCTAACCAGCTGACGCCCAGTTGAAAAGACTTATGTTCTGATGAAGCCACAACAGCCTTAGTGTTCTTTCTGCAGCTACCTCAGATTCTGGAGAACACCGTGTACCATCAGCTCTGTCCCCACCTCCAACACTAACGCTCATCTATCAAACTTGAAGCTGAGAGTGAGGGAGAGGAAGCTTCCAGATAAACACACAGCAGCGCCTAAACAGCTAATCACTCTGGGCTTCCGCTTCCAGGCCCTATAATTAGAAGCCCGTCTTTTCCTTGTATTCCCAGATGACGCAAATGCTTTTTGTGGCTTGGCACCTCGTTTGGGGCGTGGGTTTAGTTTATGGCCAGGCCAGCGTCTGGTTTAGTCTTCTGATGCTGCATAAATAGTTCCGAAGCCACAGTCTACTCTGCATGACTTTTCCTTTTATGTATATGTGCTTTTAAACTTGTTTTCTAGAAGAGAGGAGCTTGCTGTTTTCTTTGCGGAATGGTAAATTAAAGAAAGCACCTGACTCTGCAGACCTACACTAGCTCGCTCTTCCTTTCCTCGCTGCCTTTTTACATTTTTATATTTGAAAAGTTTTGTGATTCATGTAAACTCATTTATGGGTTATGAAGCCAAATTTGCTTGAAGAAATGGAAGAGGATAGCATCTGAGATAGGCACATATATGTATGTACAGGTCTTGACACACATGTTAAGACCTTTGCCTTACAGGTTGGAGTGGTTGACATAGGAACAACTAGACAGATTATTGTTGAGAAATGCTCATGTGTGATTGCCATTCACGTGTAGAACAGTAGTGGCCTTGATTTGGTCAGCTTTTCATTTAAATGCTCCTCTTGAGTAGAATGCTGTTTGGAAGAAAGTGTATTGATGCTCATCTGTGGTGTGTGAGTGTATATTTAGGATAAATAATAAGGTCTTCCTTTTTTTTTTCTTCCATTACCGTGATGTTTCTTTGTTTTTCAAGTGCCCAAAACGGAGTTTTGTGGAAAGATAGGATTGGACGATAGCCATTGACTTATGCTTACTAAAACTTACTGTAGCTGAGCCAAAAGCAGGAGTGGAAAAAGCATGCCTTCAATATAACACATGGCTGTGACTAAGCTTGGACACACATAGCTTGAGTCACAGTAAGGAAGGAGTGGGGAGTGTGTCAGTGACCTCCTGCCATCACTGGGTGCTTGGTGGGAGAGAAGCTAATATGTGTATTAACCGATTATTACCCCTTATTAAATTACTTAACAATAATTTGTACATTTCATCATCTAAAGTGTATGTAGCCCAGAAAAATGGCATTTGAGACTCAGGGCGTCACCGGGAGCTACATTTAACCAAGGAAACTGCACATTCAGATGGACAGTATCCTCTGGTGTTAGTGAGGCTGTGACCTCCTGTGCTGCCCATTCATGCCCTTTCATTACTATAAGACAGTAAAACACTTGACACAGAAATGCAAAGGAACAGACGCCAGAAGCTTGGTGCATGCAGGACATGCACCGGGACAGTCAGTTTATATCCCAAGGGCCCTCAGAACCATAACTTAAAGTCAGAGACTAAATAATTAAAAAGAAAGCTTTCTAACTTCCCTGGTAGGGAGATACCATGATCACGAGGGTGTTTTTCTTCTATTGGCCCATAGGTCTGCCGACCTCTGCAGTTTCCTCAAATATGGGAAACTCGGCTGCACAGTTTGTGGGAGCTGGGAACTGTGTTCGCCATCGTTTCTAGCAATTTACAAAATCATTCTAAAGAACTCAGCTATGGTGGTGTTCGCCTTTAATCCCAGCACTCCCGTGCTCTTATTATGAAATAATATGTGCTGTGGATAGGCAGAGGCAGATTAGTCTCTGAGTTTGTGGACTGCCTGGTCTACAGAGTGAGCTCTAGGATAGCCAAGACTACAGAGAAACCTTGTATCAAAAAACTAATGATAATAAGTAGAAATAGTAGTAAGGAATACAAAGTACAGAAAAAAAGAAGTATACATGTATTCATACATAAAGCCAGACATAGGGAAAAAAGCGAAGAGACAGGCAGATTAATTCATTAACCCCACTGATAAATGTACTAAGTTAGAATGGAATAAATGAAATAATTAAAGTCATTGGATTGTAATCTGAAAAAGCAGTGTGCAATAGGTTTGTCTTTACTCCCAGGCAGGAAGATCAGATTTCAGGTTCAAGTATCAATTAATATAGGACCTCTATACATGAAGGGATATTATTCAGAAAGAAGAACAACATCTTGATATTTGAAGTAGCTAGGCACAGAATCTGCACACAGATGACACGTATGGAACCTACAGAGCCCTGTGCAGTGATTGTCAGCACAGGGAGGTCTGGTGTGCTGTGACCGTAGTGTAACTGCAGATGACAGTACCATGCTGCATGTTCAGGAAGTACATGTGAATCTTCACCACGAGGAAAGGCCGAAAGATCAAAAGTGGAACCTGGTTTAATCATACAATATGCCCGTGTCTAACCGCTCGGCCTTTCTCTGCCATATGTTCTGTGTTCACTTAAAGTATGTTTAATTTTAGATAGTCATTCACCTCTGTGGGGACAGTAGCTGTGATTATTAATCCATTTTTTTTCATGTTGGAGATTTAACCCAAAGCCTTGTATGTGCGAAGCAGTAACTCTGTTAGATATAGTTGAAATCCCCAAGCTATTACACAGGAAACGTGTTTACTAAACAATAACCTTTGGTGTGGGAACTGGATAAATGTGTTAGTTCAACAAATATCATGCCAGGGTAGAAATCATTTTTACCTTATTAATTTTTAGAATTACTTACTTGTGTGTGTGTGTACGAATGCATGTGAGTGTGTCTGCATGTGTTTGTAGAGATCAGAGAACAATTTGTGAGAGTTGTGTCTCTCCTTCTACCTTGTGGGTCCCTGGTTCAAATTGGAGTTACCAGGTTTAGCAGCAAGAGCTTTGACTTTATAATCCTTTCTGCCTACCCTAATGTTTAGTTAGTTGGTTTGTTTAGTTTGGATACAGGATCTCAGTTGTTGTCCAGGCTGATCTTGGTCTCTTGGGCGCAAATGATCCCCTGCCCCCGTCTCTCGCCTACATTCCATGGGGGGTCTTAGTAATTTGATCAGTGTATGTTGGAACTTAATGGAGGGGGTAAGTAAGCTCTGTGGTGGCACCTTGTTTCACATCAATTGTTCCTTTTATAAATTGTGTGTTTGGGTGCATGCATACATGCTTATAGAAGACAGGAAGACAACATCAGCTACTATACTTGGGGGTATTGTCCACCTCCTTTGAGACAGGGTCTCTTGTTGGCCTGAAGCTCCTCACTTAGGCTAGACTGACCAGTTCCAGGAATTCTCCTGTTTCCCTGTTTTCAGTGCTGTGCCACCAGACCAGGCATTTTTACTTGAATTCTAGGGATTGAACTCAAATCTTTATTCAGGCAAAACAGCTTTCTTCCCAACCCTCATACATGATCTGACAATTGCTGAGAACGCTATATGTTCTGTGTGTAAAATTTTTTCCTCTGCTCACATAAAGACATCCTATTCCTTCTGCTTAGTGGTTGCACTCTGTTGGTATTGGTGTGACGTTCATAGGAACAATGTGCTTTATTTTAAGTCTTTTATTTCATAACCTTATTTCCTTTTCTCCTTTCCTAATACTTAATACAGAACGTGTTGTTCTGTAAGTATCTTAACCACATACATAATCATTTTTTATTTTATCTTCCAGGAATGCTTTTAGTCACAACAGACACTCTTGGCCATGACTTCCATGTCTTCCAAATTCTGACTCACCCCTGGTCATCATCACAAAGTGCTGTCCATCATCTGTACACTCTTCACAGGGGAGAAACCGAAGCCAAAGTAAGTTGTGTCTTCTTCCCGAAGTGATTTCTCTGTGTAATATCGCAGTCAAGATAATTGGAGATTCATATCAATTTGGAGATTAGTATTTATGAGAAAACAATATTCTCTGTGCCAGAGTGAGTTCTAATAAATTAAGATACCTCATTTTGTCCTAATGCATACCTAAGAAAGTACCCATCTTGTTAAGAATGTTGGTGAATACTGGAGAAATGGCTTAGCAGTTGAGGTCACTTGTTGTTCTTCCAGAGGACCCAAGATCAGATCCTAGAACCTGCATCATGCAGCTCACACCTCCTGCATCATCAGGCAGCTCTCAGCCTGCTGCATCAGGCCTCATTCAGCAACAAGTCCGGAAAATCCAGGAGAACCATTGTTCTCTTCAAGTTTCTATGGACGTGCACACATGTGATACTCAGACACATACATGCTAATAAATACAAAGCTGTCTTTTAAAAAATATTGACTGGGCTGGAGTGATGACTCAGTAGTTAAGAGCACTGACTCTTCTTCTAGAAGTCCTGAGTTCAATTCCCAGCAACCAGATCACCGGTGGCTCACAATCGTCTATAATGGGATCTAATGCCTTTTCTGGCCTACAGGCATACATGCAGACAGAGCACTCATAATTAAAAAGTATACACAAATAATTTTTTTTAAAAGAAAAGCCTAGATTAAAAAAAGCAACCATTGACAATTGAGTAGACATTTTGTCCTTCTTGCATTTTAACCCCACTTTGTTGCTCCAAATGAAACCCTGATTTCAGTTGATCTCTGTTTCTGAGGACCTTCTGCTGGACTTTGTGTTGTGTTGTTCTGTTTATGTCAGTTGACCAGTACTGTAAATAGGAACTTTTTTTGCTTGGTTTTTCTTCTCCCTGCCTCCCTCCCTCCTTCCTTTTCTTTCTTTTTCTTTCTCCCTTCGACCCCTCCCCTTCAATCCCTTCCTTCCATTGTTCTTCTTTTCTTTTCTAGACAAGATTTATTTGTTTGTTTGTTTGTTTGTTTGTTTATTTTAAGCTTTGAAACCTGTCCTGGAACTTGTTCTGTAGTCCAGGCTGGCCTCACACTCACAGAGATCCGCCTACTTCTGCCTCCCAAGTGCTGGGATTAAGGGTGTGCGCCACCATTGGTTTTTTTGTTTGTTTGTTTTAAATATATTTTGAGACATTGTCTCTTGTGGCCCAGATTGGTTTTGAGTTCACTGTGTAGCCAACGCTAGCCTTTATCTCCTGGCCCTCTTACTTCCAGCTCCCGAGTGCTTGGATTCCACTTGTCTGCCAGCACAGTAGACAGAAGCCTAAACGTAAACATTTATGCATGCAGCTATGCAAGTGTGGATTTTTACAATACTTTCCTTTATAGGATTTATTGATTATTTTATTATGTACTAGATATGGATCCTTACATTTATTTAGTTTTCATCGGTGTCGTCATCATCATGGTCTTCATTTGTTCTTTTTCTCCTCCTTCTTCTTCCCTCCTCGTCCCTTCTCCCTTTTTGTTCCTTCTTCTCCTGCTCAGCATTCTATTCTAACATCACAGTGCACACAGTGTCTATTTTATTTTTCTTACTAGCCTAAAATCAGCGTTGGTGATTTGTTTTCACAGAGCTGGTGGCTCTGTTCCTCCCAGCACACCACCACACATTGCTACATTGCGGAATTTGTAATTGGATTTGTTACTAGATATGGTAACTGTATCTGTGTTCTCACGCTGGAGAGGTGAAGGCGAAAGGAACCAGCTGGGGTTACATAATGATGTTTGAGACCAGCCTGTGAGACTCTGTATGGGGAATTTGGGAGATACAACTAAGCTTATTATTTTTATTATGGCAAACTATTCTAACTTTATAGTACTTGTCTGTCTCAATAAATAGTACGATTTTATTTTTAAAATATGTTGTACCTTATTGATTTTTGTATATTTTAGGCCCTTCACAAAGCCAGACGCATTTTTCTCAGGTTTTTAATTAATTTTTTATTTTTAACTGGCCCAGTGGTCAAACTCAGGACCTCTTTGCCTGTCCAGCACTCTGCCTCAGAACTGCAGCCCAGCCCAGCCCAGTCGTGCAAGACAGCATGGCCTGGTACCCATAGTGAACACATATTCACTCAAATGAGAACATTTTCTTGCATAGTCATAAGAAGCTCTTAAAATACCAAGTAAAAATAATTCTGCCTTTTTAACTGTCAACCCCAAGCTTAGTGTCATTAGTTGTTTCAACAACTGCAAAAAGGCTTTACCCCAGGAAAAGGAATGGCCATATTTTTAGTCTGCTTCCTTCTGGAACAGTTCATTATTATTATTTTTTTGACTGTTTATGATTTAAGCACATTAAATGCTGCATCTCATTTCTTCTCTAGAATCTTCCTCAGCTGTTGTAGAGGTGTTGGTGTTCTCATTTTATTCTATGAGGTAGAGTGTAGCTTTCACTGGTAACTTGGGTTGTGCTTTTGAGGTACGCTCACCACATTCTTTGGAAGCCTCTTTCCACCTGCTTCTGCCTCATGGGAATACAAACATGGAACTTTGCTAATAATTTGATCAGGATACCAGTCTATCTTTATGGTTTTGTATTTGTTCACTAATTATTTTAGCATTCAGAGTGGTCCAGATTTGCCAAGCTGGCACCACTAACATGGCCTCAGATGTAGCTCAGAAATGTTTTGAAATATCTCGGTCATGTTTTGAGCATTCTTTGATGCAGAACTGACTGCTTTTTGCCCGGCTTAGTTGCCTTTGCGTTGTGTTTATGCAGCAGTATTATGTTAGATAGTTTTCTTATGTGTAGATTTCATATCTCTAGACACAGTTCATTTCCTCATTCTCTTTTAAAAATGTATTTGCCTTATAGGCATCCTCAAGCCTCAGCAGAACCATTAAGAGTTTGAATGTTTTAAGCACTTGGCCCCTGTTTGATGCCCGGTTTTTATCAGTGTTATTTGTTATTTAGCTTCCCTGGAAATTCGATGGGGAATAGCAGTCTTGAGTAAGGTTCCTGGTGACACTGAATCGCAGGACAGTGCCAGCATGGTTTTGTTGTGAAGGTTCGGTGTCACCAACTGTATACCCATTTTTCAGGCAGGCAAATGAAATAGAACCATCTACAACAATGTTGTTCCAGTACCTATCCTGTAATTTGGAATTTCTAAAAACAAGTATAAAGATAGAAGGACTTAAGTTGGTAACCATAAAATTAATCGTTATAAGGTCCTGCCGAAAATTATTTTAAACTGATAAAATTTAATACCAATCATGAAATCTGTCTGGCACATGATTTATCTGGACATCTTTGAATACTTGAAAAATCATATTATTCTAAATTCTTCCAAGAACTCCAAGGGCACTTTAATCAGGCAAGAGAAGAAAATAAAGTATATGGATCTAATTACGTTGAATTAAGTTGTTTTGTGGTCTTTGACTGGGGATATCCTCTGCATCTGACAGTAATTTTCCTCCTGAAGCACACATGCCGTGAGAAGAATGTCCTTGCTCCAGCAACAGTATGAATCTCACTGCTAGATCCCGCGCTGATAGACTCCAGCGTGGCTACTCAAGCCGTCTGCGCACAGATCCCTTGTTAGCAGACTCTGCTGTGACTTACGGTGCCCACTGCAGTCCTTTTTGTAGTCCATTGGATAAATAGCAATTTCATTTTTGAAACATGTAAATATTAATGTTTCCACAGGCTTGCAAAGTAGTATGATTAATACCTGTTTTAGTTCTGAAGTGGAAATGAATCCAATTATTTATATTATTAGTTAAGACTATTTGTCATTTGTGATAAAAATTAATTTTTTAGTGTCTATATTCCAAATACTATGTACTTTTGCTTATGCTGATACAGACATGCCACTTTTTTCCATGATTTTTGGAACACATGGTAATTTATGCATGGTTGGTTATGCCATTTTCTTCAACCTATCCCTCAATACTCAATTTTAATAAGATATAGCTCACAAACTATCAAAGTGTGGAGTTCCCAGGGTCTCTTATATTCTCAGTGGTCTAGACCATCACCTGTGCTTGGCTTCTGTGCCTTGCTTGTCTCTGAAAAAACACATACTTTGTCATAGCCATCTTTTTGCGTTCCTGCTTCTCCACCTTCTGTTGTAATTGAATGAGATGAACAGATTACTTTCCTTAAACTTCAGGTTCATTATTTAGAAAAATAGGGGTCTTTTCTTATTTCCTTAGGTCTTACTAAGGACAAGGTGAGGGACTCCCGTTGTGCTTGGTGTCTCCCTGGGTTAATGAGATAGTTTCAGCTCTGGGAGACTGAGGTCATAGAGTCTGAGGACGGAGAACAAGAAGGAATGAAAACGGTAGAGGTCAGCGAGGACCAGGACCGTTGAGAATGTGGAAGGAGCGTCCATTAGTGGGGAAGGATAAAGCCTTATTAAAGGAAGACAGGAATGGTCTTTGCATAAAATACAAATTACTCTTTTAAAAAATGCACATAGTAAATTGTTTTAACAACCTTGAAAGGTAAAGATTAGTTCATAAAAAGCAGGTCTAGTGACATAAGTCTTGAATTCCATTGACTCAGGAGGGCAAAACAGGAAGGTCCTAAGATCAAGGCCATCCTAGGCAAATTATCGAGGCTCTGTCTTAAAAACTACAAAATGGCCAGCACTTGGGAGGCAGAGGAAGGCAGATCTCAAGGCCAGCCTGGTCTACAGAGCAAGTTCTAGGACAGTCAGGACTGTTTCACAGAGAAAGCCTGTTTCGAAAAATCATCATCATAAAAACCAATAATAACACAAAGCAAACACCAATTTTAAAAATTATAGGAAGGTAACAGATGTAACATTTGCTTAGCACATGCAAGACCTGGAGTTCAGACACTGTGAGGGATGGCAAACACAAGTGTATGCACCTTCATGGATAGACGCGCACACGTGCGCGCGTGCACACACACTCCCTCTCTCTTTCTCTCCCTCTCTCTCTCTCTCTTTCTCTCTCTCACACACACAGAGTATTTTCAAATCTTAAGA